ACAAATACGAGTACAAATACGAGTACAAATACGAGTACAAATACGAGTAAAAGTACTCCAGCTACACATCAAATACGTAATGTACATGGCGAGCCCTAAAACACTAATACAAGAATACAACCTATCCATAAGTACATTTTTCAAACGCCGAATACAAGTATATCATGAAGGTGATCTCAAGTAGCACTGTAAGCCACTAGAGCGGATTTCGTATGACTGTGCAACGGCACGGACACGGAACATCTCCTTCTAGTGATCCCAAATAAAAAGAAAGATTCAACAATACATCACCAACAAGACACGGCTGCTTTTTTTTTCTTTTTTCACAGTCATAGGAAATGCGTTCTATCAATGCGTCATTTACCTTTACAAGAATATAGCTGTGTAATATCATCAGATTTTGACTCATCTCAGTTGGTATTTTAATCTTGTGTTGTGTCAGCTCTGTTAGAAAAATATGAACACGAATATGATTATTAAACGTTTTGATTTTTTGACAGCAATGTTTTGAATTGCGATATATTGCCGTGCTTAGTGTTGTGGAGCATGATACATGATACTCTCAGCACCAACAGCAACAAAATAGAAATTTCACTTGGAACACAAGAAAAAGTGCAGCATGCATCGACGGCCTTTCCAAGGGAAGGACCATTTGCCTTTAAAAGGTGACATATGGAACTTATGGGGGACAAATAGTCCGTGRWCASTCAAGCTTGACCTGACAGTCCGTATGAAGTGCCAAATTTGACGAAAAAAGGCCAGATTTCAAGGCTTTTTGAAGAAATGCGGCGACATTAAAACCAATCCTAAAAACCTAGCACCGGATTTAAGAAATAAAATCTATATGCGACCTTTCTGGGTATTTTTCATGAGAAAATTCGAAAATCCAATCACGTATTTTTGCCCTTGAAGAGTTGAAGTTGAGCATTAAAATAGTATGGCGATCCATGTTTTCACCACAGTTCGCTCCAAAAAACTGGGCCTCGCGCATAACTTATTTTGTTAATAAAAAACCTAGCACCGGATTTAAGAAATAAAATGTATGTGTGACATTGCTGTGTATTTTTCGTGAGAAAATTTAAAAATCAAATTACGTATTTTCGMCTTTGAAAAGTTGGCGTTGCTTCGCATCCGTTTGCGTTTCGGGATTCCTGTCCCGACGATGAACGGATGCAAAGGAGACTACTTCTGTAGGCACAAGCAACAAAAATCAAACTTGAATTTTTCAAATKATTGCTTTCTTATTATATGTYTAAAATGTAGTCAAAACTATGCAGTTTTGTGTTAATTCAATATTTGAAAAATTTATATCAGTCAGTGAACGTAACTGTGATATTAAATGTACATGTACTTTCCTTTCTATAGGTGACTTTGCTATTAATTGGAAAATTAAACGAGACTTACCTGTAAGTTGAAGTTTGATTGAGATTCTATCACATGACATCGGAAGGAAGGGGATCACATGAGATAGCACAGCGCAAGCGCACGTCATTCTTTAAAGTATATTCTGTTGGTTGTATCAGTTTACCCACATAGCAATGTAARGGGCCGGGTAAAAAAGGGTGGGCATGTGATCCCCTTCCTTCCGATGTCATGTGATAGAATCTCAATCAAACTTCAACTTACAGGTAAGTCTCGTTTAATTTTCCAATTCTATCACATGACCGGAAGTCAGGGGATCCCATGAGACTTTAAAGCCACTGATGCAACCAACTTATTTTGCCACAATAACCATAATGACAAAGATCATGTGTACTACTGTGTATAACTGATCAAATATAGTATATTATGTAAGTAACAAGTATAATTGGTATAGTATAGACATTGTATAGAATARCAATGATAGGCTAAACTTGTAAGATAGTATCTGCGATGGTATTTTCTTTCATAGGTTTGTTATAGAACCTGTAAAACGTTTCGGAAGATTCCCAGCCTGCATTAGCCATGATTTGATCAATAGGTACATTACCCAGGTGAGCTTTAGAGGCAGCGGCTGCTCTTGTGCTGTGGGCTTTGTAAACGTTGGTGTVTATACCACTATTCTCGAGAACTGTTCTAGTCCATCGCGATATAGTGTCCCTAGATACMGCTTKGTAAGGCTTTACATAACTAATGAATAATTTTGTGTCKTTTGCCCGGTGCGGTTCAGTTCTACTGATGTACTCCSATAGACATTTAAAGGGACACAGGCTGGCTTCCGGTAAATATGGTTTGATGGTTATCTTGGTATGTGCTTTTCCTGGTTTGCTTGTTTTAATGTGTTCAAGGACATAGAAAATAAGACGATTATCTTGTTTATCTAAATGTCTAAGGTCTAATAAATGAATGGTTTGTCCTCTTTGGCTAGTTATTAATAACAGTAACATTAGTGTTTTTAATGTCAAGTCTTTAAGTGACAAAGATTCGTTTGGGTATTGCTTAGACAAGTACYTCAGTACAACTGAAACATCCCATATTGAAGAGTATTTTGGCGTGGGTTTTCTTAACTCGAAAACACCCTTCATAAACCGGTTAATAATAGCGTTAGTACTAAAATCGGGAATGTTGACCACAGTAGACAGGGCTGAACGAGCGGTGTTGAGTGTAGAATAGCTAAATCCGCTGTTGTAGAGCGTAAATAAGAAATCGAGAATGTTATTTATCGAAGGTGAATGGTAATYAATTTCCCTTTCACTGCAAAACGCCATCCACCTTCGAAGGTACGTTGCATACTGTTTCGTAGTTGTTGGTCTCCAGGACGCAAGGATGATGTCGGTAATGTTGTTCGGAATTTGTAAGTAAGCGTAGTGTTCCCTGATAAGGGACACACCATTAGGTGCAATTTGGTYGCTAGTGGGTGTAGATGTTTGTTGGACGGGTGTTGTAGGAGGTCTTGTTTGGGTGCATAAATCCACGGCTGTTTGTATAGCATCTGTAGTAGCAAAGGGAACCAGGGTTGAGTTGGCCATAGGGGCACTATCAGTATTCCTTGCGCTTTGTCCTGCGAGATCTTGGATAGGCACCTGGAGATCAGACTGAATGGAGGGAAAGCATAGAAATTGTGATTACTCCAATCAACAGTAAAAGCATCAACATAAGTGCAGCCCGGATCTGGGTGCCATGAACAATATGTATCAAGYTTATTGTTGAGTCGGCTCGCGAACATATCAATGTCTAACTCAGGAAAACATGAAATAATTATGTCAAAGCATTGTTSCTTTAATGTCCATTCGTGCTTATCAGAAAACTTGCGCGACTTTTCGTCTGCTTCAATGTTAAGCTTTCCGGCAATGTGGACTGCTGATAACCAGAGATTCCTATTGATACACCAATCCCATATGTGTCGTGACAAATTGTTAAGGGTAGGTGATTTTGATCCCCCCATGTTGTTAATGTAAGCTACTGCCGTTGTGTTGTCAACAAATATGCGCACATGTTGATCATGTTTGTTAGAGCAGTAACATTTCAACGCGAAAAACGCAGCTTTTAATTCCAAAATGTTGATGTGAAGTAATGCTTCCCGCTCTGTCCATCTCCCCCCCGTTTTATTTTCATCAAGAACTGCTCCCCAACCTTGGGTAGAAGCATCTGATTTAATGATAGTAGTGGGGTTATCACGGATAATATTTCGTTTCAGGTTTTGGCCATTATTTAGCCACCAACGTATCTCCGCTTTAGCTTGTRGCGATAACGTCATTGGGCTTGAGTAGTTTCCTTTGTGAGTAAGAAGTGCCCAATATTTTTCATATTCCAGTTGGCGGTAATGCAGGGGCCCATATTGCGCGCCAGGAAAATTAGACACAACAATTCCGATAAATTCCGCAAGTTGCCTTATAGTAATGGTGGTGGTTTCTAAAAGRGCGGCGGCGCTGGAAACGATCTTGTGTATTTTCTCTTTAGTAGGYGTAACCGTCATGTCTAATGAGTTAAGTATAAAACCGAGAAAAACAATCTCCTGCTTRGGCTCAAACATTGATTTTTCAGGGTGTACACAAAATCCGAGTTGTGAGAACAATTTTGCAGTGTCAACTACATTGTTGTAGCATTCTATGTATGTGTCACCTTGTAGATATGAATCGTCTATATAAGCTGAACTGACATGGCCCATACTGCGCAGCGCYGAATASACTGGTTTAAGTAGTTTWGTAAAGATGCGCGGGGCGCTTGCAAGTCCATTAGGTAAACACGTATATTGATAATACTTTCCACGGAAAAGAAATTTCAGATATTTCTGGTGTGAATCATGGACCGGAACAGTGTAATAAGCATCTTTAAGGTCGACCGAGGCCATGAAACAGGCCGGTTTCATCAGTTGAATGGCGTGCTCTAGAGTATCCATCTTAAAATGATGATATACGACATGTTCATTGAACTGTTTVAAGTTTAGAATCATACGATAAGAGCCGTCTTTCTTTGGACGCAAAAATACCGTAGATATGAAATCATCCGGTTCTTTTGTTGTCTCAACAACTACGCCTTTAGTCATTAGTGTTGCAATTTCCTGTTCAACAATTTTCTGTTCGTCAGCATTGAACATGCTGGGTCGTGTATAAGGGGTAGAGATACTTATATCAGTAAATTCAATTTTTACCCCCTTAACAATGTTCAGAACTGACACGTCAGTAGTTAGCGACGACCAAGTATCAAAAAAGTCAAATACCCTTCCTGCCTTAAATTCCGAAGGTTTAAGCAACCATGGCATTATGTCATTGGCAATGTTGACATTAGGAAAAGATATGTTACATACCTTTGTCTCTACAGCTAATTGCTGTTCGTTCCCTCCTTTTTCTTTCTGCTTTTGGAGAGAAAACTTTTGTTTAAAAAAGAACTTCCTCGGTTCTTGCTGTTGTAGGGTTGGAAACGCCGGTTATATCCTGACGACCCAGCCCGACCGTGATTGTAGCGGTCCCCACGTGGGTTGGTAGAAACCTTTGGGCGGACTTTCTTTGCCAGCTTATTCGCCTCGGCGATGTCTTTTGTGAGTTTGGAGATATCCCCAAACAGGTATTCTGCGTTGCCCTSAATGGTAACATTRCACAAAGCCGCATAATCTTTGTGTAGTTCGGGTTTCATCGCCTGTCTTCTGGCCTGGTTTTCCTCGTGGTTGTAYTGTAGCCCTAATGCTACACTGTCGGCTAGCAAAATAGCGAGTTCACGGTCGCTACCATATTTACGCACAACAATATCCGCGGCCTTCACGCACGCGATTATTGAGGACAGTAATATAGCCTGTGACTTCTGGGATTTAGAATCCAAGGTACGCATTTGAGAGGAGAGTTGATTCCATACCAAGGGATTAACTTTTAACACTCGTAAGTCCTCCATGTTTTCGGGCTTAACGTGCTGATCCATTTTTTCTTTTAGCTTTGTTTCGTCCATTTTCTTCGCGATGAGGCCTGTGAAAATGTCTGYCAACTCCTTTGATATAGGAGGGCCAGTCTTTTCGTTAAGACTGAGATCTTGAGCAATGTCTTTAAGAACATCGCTACTTTGCCCTTCGCCGGGGCTATCAGTGGAGCTCTTTGAGAGGAGCTCTCTGAAACGGGTGTCATGATCGCCATCTTGAGCGTCAGTCTCACTCCCTTCCTCCTCCTCCTCTTCTTCTTCTCCTGGCGAACAGAAAGAAGAGAAGTTTTCGTTCATCGTTTTCATTTGCTCCAGGAGGGCGCCAAACATTGTAGTTATATCGGGAGTTGTATTGCCCCCGGCCGGTGTACTCTCCTCGTTCTCGGCTATGTGATCTGTCATTGTCCACTAAGTAACTCTAACTGCGTTAGAATTAAACAAATCACTGCTAGTACCAACTACGTTGATACTGTAAAGGTTGGATTTTCTTGATAGATTAACTACGTTAATCTAATCCAAAGTATTTTACTGTAGCTTGATAAAGAAGAACGTAACGCGGTGAACGCAAATCGTGCAATGATGACGTGCGCTTGCGCTGTGCTATCTCATGGGATCCCCTGACTTCCGGTCATGTGATAGAATAGTATTTAATGGTCAGATGATGATGTTAATGAGGTCGATCGACGACAAAATATTAATTAACTCCATTGTATTATATTTCATGAAGTAAATAAATAAATTACATGCATATATACATGCATGCATGGATGCATGAGTGAGCCTGGACAATAATCCAAGCAAATGTCACCCGATGTATGGCAATAAGTTCCATATGACGAAGATCTATTTTGCCATTCGGCGACAAATCTATGAAACACTGTTCGCGTTACATTCATTACTCAGAATGTCAGTCTTACCCTGGAACATGCTGAATAGGACATCATGAGCGTTACGGTAGTTTCCAGCATTCTGATCTTCACGAGCAATAATGATAGCAGTGCGCGCTGCCTCACGGTATTGCTTGAGTGCCATGTACAAACGAAATAGATATTTGGCATCCTGATATCAAAGCGTAATGCAGTCAGTCAATAAGATATTGAACAGATTATAATTAAAGTTGACTGACCACGAACATAGATCGGGGCGCCTTCGAGTATCAGAGAGAATGTTAAGATCTCAAATAGTTTAGTTTCGCGATCTCTTTTACACTGTGTTAGTGTCAATTATGTACAGAATATGCAGAAATTTAGATAAAACTTGTCTTCTTGCATTTACATGGGCTGTTACTGAATAAAAGAATATATTGCTTGGTTTTGAGGCCAACACAGTGTAAAAGTGATCGTTAAAAGGGTTTCCGATCAATCAATCATTCAATCACAACGGAGAGCGGTTAAACAGTTAGGCCACCAAAATGTACCTTTGGCATTCCATCTGTTTCGCCCATGAGAAAATCAATGAGCTGATGAGTAAGAATGTCATCGCTTGCTTTTCCAATCTGAAAAGTCAAAAAATATCATCAATAGAAGAATCTCAATTCATTAAGCTCTATCTGGTTGAGAAAAAACCGATTGTAGTCTCCTGATTTGCTCTACAGATAAACGTACTTTTAAACTACATGCAAAGGGTTTAATTTGAAAACAAAATGAAAAGATATAACCAGAAGACAACAATAAACTACATTTCGTACACCGAATAGTATTTGAGTACTCAAAAATTCGAATAATATTTGTCTAGACATGCTACGCCATAGCGTTAGTCGTAGAGGAGGTCATTTTATTCAGAGCAGGTCCGATCTTTTGGCACTGGAACATTCTTATTCTGACGTCACAGCGGCCATCTTTGAGGAAGGTCTAACATGGCCGCCGGTCTTTTATCTTTTGAACCTCATGGGAATGGGTGAAAACGATCAATACTCATGATTTTTGGTTTCCAATGCTCCCTTTTGGTCTTAGCTTTCACGACGTAACCTTTTGGGACCCGTCAAAGTTTTTTTTATAGTCTATGTCGATTATAATGATAAGTACAGGTCTCTTGTCGAGCATTTGATTCTTATATGACATCATTTTGAAATAGCAACAACGGCGGACATTATGCGTTTTCGCCTGTGTTAAAGATGGAGTTTATGTATGTTTTCTATAAGATCCTATAGAGTCAATTTCGTATGAGTGGGAAACGTACGGTAGAAATTACCGCACGGTTACCGCACAGTTACCGGACCTGGCCTGCACAATTTTTGTGAACCAATGGGGCACTAGAATTTGGTTACAGTACGATTACGGTCACAGTACAGTACCGTCCGTTTCCCACTCATACGAAACCCGCTCTATCTTATTCCAAATTAAAGCCATTGCTTCCCCCCTTCCTCGATACAATGTTCGTAATCCTCGATGTAACAGATAAAGGTCATCACCTAACAAGAGGCACTGAAACTGGCGTCGGGGAGGTTAAAGACAAGGTAGAAGAGAGTACTCTACATATGCAATTTTGGTTCATTAGCGAAAACACTTGTCTTGGATTCAAGGTGCATACCGTTTCAATGGCCAGCTCAACAGACTCTCCATCTTCCGTCACTGGACACTTGAGGAAAAGCTTTAGAGCCTGAAAATACAATATGAAAACCAGAACTAAGTTACACCAACCATAGCATCAGATTGCAAAGACCACAACGAAAAGAACACAAAACTATGAATGAGTAAACAAAGTCCAGATGAAAGAAGCCTACCTTTGCATACTGAGACGACTTGAGATAAAATTTTCCCGCCAAGAGATGCTGTTTTTGATTATCAAAGTACATGGCAATGCTCGAATAATCATCTTTAGTAGCGTCATCACCTGAAGTCATTGAAAAATGAGGTAAATTATATTATAAAGACGCAACAATAACAACACGATAACAATAAAAAATAATAATGATAAAAATAAKAATGATTAAATATCATTAATTGACAAAGAAAAGATTATTCATTAAGTACTCGTTAACGATTCATTGGTTAGGAGTGGCCCGGGATAAGGTAGGAAGCAGCAATTCATTGGTTAGGAGTGGCCCGGGATAAGGTAGGAAGCAGCCAGTTTGGAATTCCAAGACTTCATTACCACGTTTAGTAATTGGTTGTTTTTGCCTTGGAAAGGAGCAAATTAAGTGCCCGTATAAATGCCGTCCAGTTCGCATTAGAGCGGATTTCGTATGAGTGGGAAACGGACGGTACTGTACTGTGACCGTAATCGTACTGTAACCAAATTCTAGTGCCCCATTGGTTCACCAAAATTGTGCAAGGCCAGGTCCGGTAACTGTGCGGTAACCGTGCGGTAACGGTGTCCCACTCATACGAAATCCGCTCTAACGTCCATATTACTTACCAATGATGTCTGCATACTGTTCCATTTGATTGTGAGCCTAAAGTTCAAGATAAAATTGATGTTAGTCAATAACACGAATTGATGATGCACTATATGTCACAATGCATTGCGGTCTTGGAAACACTGTTCTCGACTTCACCACCGTCTATCACAAATAGACTACAATTCAAACGTCAAAGAGAATCGGTTGGATTTAAAGTTTTGTTTTATTCTAACAACTATCTCTTAGGAATGATTTTTTTGAGTCAGGGGGGTTACAGAGTAACCCCCTTTCATTGCCAAAGATTGGAATATATGAAATCTGTCCGTTAATGCAGTTTTTATAAGAATATACTTAACGAAAATCAGTTACTGACATTAGATGTCTCGATTTTCCATGATTCTTTTGCACTTTTCAATAACATATCAATATCATGTTAAGATACAATAGTATGCTACATTACTGCTATAAAGAAACTTTACCTGGGCTAACTGGAATGCTTCGTCATTACACTTTGATAGAACCAGAAACTGAATGGCTGATCCAAAATCCCCGAGGTTCTGGAAAAACCTGCCAAGTAATATGACTGGTTAGTTTGGTAACTGAGACAACTGACAATCAATCAACGACAAAACACCTATACAAGTACTGCGAACTAAACGACAACACAACAACGACAAAACACCTATACAAGTACTGTGAACTAAACGACAACA